GAGAGAGAGAGATATTGAGGTGGATGAGCAAGAGAGAGGGGAAAAGGTAAGGAGATCAAGATCGTGTAAGAACTATGAAAGAGTCCATGGTATACCTGAGTATATTCGAAAGTGCGGGAGGAAAGAAGGGAAAAAGATGGTAAAAATAGCAAGATGGAGGTGTGGGAATGAAGAGAGAGGAAACAAGTACTAGATGAAAGAAGAGAACAGGAAATGTAGACTGTGTGGAAAAGAAAGAGAAGATGTGGAGCATCTGAAGAAAAACTGTGAATACGTAAAGGAAAAAGGAGGAAGCAATCTGAGGGTTTTAAATGAGGATGGAAGGGGGTATGATTGGATGATGAGAATAGAACGATTAAGAGAAGAGAAAAATAGAAAGACAGATAGGAAAGAGAAAATGGAAAATGTTGTGGATATATTGAGGGGACTGTGTCGAGGGTATGAGTGTATGAAATATATGAATGAATATGAGAAGGAAGGAGGTGGGTATGTGAGTGGGTGAGTGCGGGGGGGGGAGAATACGGATGTGTATGAAAAGAGAGAGAGAGAGAGAGAGAGAGAGAGAGAGAGAGAGAGAGGGGGGGGGAGAGAGTATGGATAGAAATTGTCAAGTAGGAGAGAAAGCGAAGGAAATGCAAAATGTGAAGTAAAATGTAAAACGAGAGAGAGGAATAAGATAGGGAAAGGAATGTCAGTAGAAATTAAGAAGCAAAGTTTAAAGTGTGATTTAATTTTTGGAAGTCTTTGTAATCACTTTGTGTGAAGGCAAATAAATAAATAAATACTACTAAATAAAAAAATACTATAGATTTTCAGTACTCGCAATGAATAACGGAACGCAGCTGTTCCGTCTTCCGACAAGAACAATCAGATACTGTGTAACACAGTGAATCATTTTATCCTTGTTTATTGTAGCCAAACAAGATTTAATGGTTCACTGTGTTACACTGTGTTTTTGGAAAATACCCTTTATATCGCGACTAAACTAATTTTCCCGTCCTTGTTACCATGATGTAAGTATACAAGATATTTCTCCCGAGATGCACAGTGTTGACCAATCAGAGTAGCGTAAAACGCAAATACCAACATGTTTCCATGATTCACAACAAAATTTTCGTCTGTAGTCTTGAAAAATCGTTGCTGGACATTTCGGTTTGAGTGTTAAAAGCATTCCGAAGCATTTCGTTCGTGATCGCAGTAGCACTTCTTCTAGCTGAAAATCATTCTTGTACTTTCATTAACTTATTCTTGCTTAGCTGGAGGCTCGGTAAGTTGTCCAAAAAAGGTCAACTTAATAACTTTATTGCATTTTTACTTTTGTTTATTTCTATCAGCATTATTCGTGTGCTTTGCTTCTTTAGATTGCTTTTGCTTATCGACAAATTTATTGTGTATATATGAGTGTTAATTTAGGATTTGTAATCAAGTTATTATTTGAAATAAGAACTCTATAATACAGAGTTCTTACACATGTACGAGTTATCTAAGTAATATATATCATACAGCACAGAAAATTGGAGCAATATTACTGCAATGTTGCAATATTACTGCAATGTTGCAATATTACAAATGCATTGTAATATTACAGAGATATTATAGAAATATAAATTAACAATACGCCTGCAAGATGTCAGGTATGCCTGTAATATTCCAGAAACATTGCAAAACTGTAATTCTTTAATTATGTTACTATATGTTAATAATATAATTTTATTATTTATGCTAATAATATAATTTTATTAAATATAATTTTTTATAATACTCATGTAATATAGTTTTTTAGTTTAACAGTAGTTTTTATGATATAATAATTAATATAATTCATTTTTATATTCAAATAAAACATATATTAATCTATTATTTGATGGCCATTTCATTATCTAAGTTTCATATTTATTTTAAATATGAAATCAAATGATTGTATAATATCGAGTTTGAATACAATTAACATATCATTATCGGATAAGACAATAAGCAATTAAGCTGTTGAAAACGATTTATCGAAATATTATGCGATCGATGATGTATTTATGCCTGATGTGAACGCAAGAATAAACCCCGAACTTTATTGATAATTTCATACCATCATTTTTTAATCAATTTCAATTGACTCAAAATCTTCGAATTAAAAAGAATCACTACGATTAACTTAATCCATGATTAACCAAGCGACTGTATTACGAAGGCATGTCAATAAGTTTTTAGAAAAACATAGTAAAACACTTTTTTTTGATCGATTCATTTTTATTTCTCAACATAGTATCCTTTCAGCTCGATATAGCTTGATCCAACAATTCTCCAACTTTTTCAAGCCGTCCGAATAATATGATTTGTCCAATCCTTTAAAATAAGCTTCTGTTTCGGCGATGAGCTGCTTTCTAGTGGTGAATCTCTTTCCTCCGAACCATTTCTTCAGGTTTGGAAATAGGAAATAGTCGCAGGGGACTAAATCTGGCGAATATGCTGGATGGGGAAGCAATTCGTAGCGGAATTCGTTGAATTTGGCCATCGGTGCCGGGCACGTATGAACCCATGCATTGTCTTGATGGAAGCACTTTCTTCTTCGTCAAATGGGGACGTTTTTTCTTTAAAAAAACTGCGTAGTAATCGCCATTGATCGTTTTTTTCGACGGAAGGTAATCAATATGAATTATACCGCGTGTACCCCAAAAAACTGTGATCATTACCTTTCCGGCCGACTTCACGGTCTTCGCCTTTTTCGGAGATGATTCATTCAGTGAAATCCATTGTTTTGACTGTTCTTTCGTCTCGGGTGTGAAGTAATGGATCCATGTTTTGTCGACAGTAATGAATCGACGCATTCTTACGAATAAATGTATCCTTCAGAATTAATACTACATTTATTAGAATATTTTTATGGTTTTATCATAAAAAAATTGCTTTTGAGAAGCACATATCACTAGAAATGCAATTTGTAGAAAAATTAAAATTAGTGAGATATATGTACAGAAAACAGTTTCCATTTTAGAGTCCTCGTTCCGCTGGACAGTGCGAACGTCGGTCCTACTTTTTCGGTCAAGGAACTTAATCCCTATGACCCGAGACTGGATCTGCGATCTCAGGTATTCGAGGGAAGTGAATGCGAGGGGTGATGTCAATAAAAGACAGGGGAATACCTTAAATTACATTTATTAATAAAATGAAATATAATGAAACAAAGGAATTTTATATAATACATTATAAGACTTTTCTTTACAAAAAAAAATATACATACTATAGCTTGTAGATGAATGCGTGTATGTGTGTGGTTGCACAATGAATGGATTTTTCCATGCAGGGAAACGCGGGGTGGACTGTAAATAATTACGACTTACTTAGTAGCTGTCCCCAAGATATTGGGTAGGTTCTAGATGAGTGGCCAAGGAGATCCGTCGTCAGCGAAGAGTGTCCGAAGGGCAGTCGCCGTAGCGTATGGCTGGTAACTTCAGTTGCGATTTGGTTACAAGTTCGCACTCGGACGGGATCGCGAACTTGGGTGATTAGCGCGGGTTATAATAATTTTCGAACTGCCTGAGACAATGAGTAACTGAGCGCGAACTCCACTGACGTGAACCGAATGGTTTAAAATTCTGTACTGACGCTCTGCGCTTCCGCGGGACCTCTATTTATACCCCGACAAAAGGGCGTTGTGCCCTTTGTCTAGGAAAAGTTAGTTGCAATGTCACGCGGGATTAGATTTTTATAACGTTCTATTCTCGTTGTTGATCTAAAGTACATAGTTAGAGTAGTTTCGAGAAGAAGAGAAAGTGATTTACGGTTTTCCTTAAAGAGCCAAGATTGCTCCGAGACGAATGACGAATTCTGTTATTCTCGCGGAAAATATAACTAGATAAACAGATGGTTACCATGCACAAATAGGGCTACCATTGTCAGTTGCGAGTCTGGTTTCAGATAATGCTCCTATTGGAAGTTATTCTATGCGTTTACGATTTTTTAAGTGGCGCCTGTTTTCTAAGATGAAATTGTTAGTCAGTCTCGGATGACAAAGCCTAGATTTTTACTATTGCGTGACTTCGGTATATTTATTAGGTGTTGGAATTAATTCGTAGCGTTTTACAAGTGATGGGAAGTACTTTCATTAATGTATTTTTTAATGCTCATGTGAAATAAATAACATTCTTTCATTAAAAAACGCTACGAATTAATTCCAACACCTAATATAATGTCTTTGCAATCTTGTCTCTTTTTGGGCCTACATTAAGGTTGTTATTCTTTCCGGGTTGATTGGTATTTACGAATTTTCGCGGCGCCTGTCCGGTCTCTTTTTCAATTCTGTCAGACCGTTATTAGAAGGCGTCGCTCGGGTCTCGTAGACGCCAACTATAGTCGCAACGTGGAGTTGAAGAAAAAAATCGTGGCATCTGTAGGACGTAACAATATCATCAAAATATATTATCAGACGCAAGTAATATACAAATAAATAAAAACAAAATTTTCTTTTTAGGCTAATTACGCTAGTAAACTCTTCCCGGACGTGTACCTCAGAAATTATTGATCGTATGAAAATGAATACAAAACATTTTTAAAGGAAATTAATAATCA